GGAGTTTCGCTCTTGTTACCCAGGCTGGAGTGCAATGGCGCGATCTCAGCTCACCGCAACCTCCGCCTCCTGGGTTCAGGCAATTCTCCTGCCTCAGCCTCCTGAGTAGCTGGGACTACAGGCACGCGCCACCATGCCCAGCTAATTTTTTGCAGTTTTAGTAGAGACGGGGTTTCACCATGTTGACCAGGATGGTCTTGATCTCTTGACCTTGTGATCCACCCGCCTCGGCCTCCCAAAGTGCTGGGATTACAGGCGTGAGCCACCGCGCCCGGCCGACTTTAGTCTTTTGATGTCTCACAGTACCTGCTGAGAAGCGCTACAGGTTTTACTACTCGGTAATCTGTTAGGGAGGAGAAGAAACCCACCTTCTCAAAATCCCAAACAAAAAAGAACAAGTTGTAATTGAATGTCCTCACCATCAATCATCTTGAGTAAAACAAGGGGTGTAGGTAACATCAGGAAAAAGAATCAGTAATTCTTATAGGCGCATGCCTGTAATTCCAGCTACTCGGGAGACTGAGATCAAGCACATCCTTTGAGCCCTTCTAAAGGTGGGAATGGGAAGAGGGGTCTCCAGTCCTCACATCTTTGGAAGAGCTCAGCAAGTTTTCATATGTTTGGAATGGTTCAAGGAGAAGGACTTGACACCAGAGGACTAAGAAACAAATGCAAGTTAGATCTTATTGTTAATGGTATCATGAGTACAAAAATAAAACTTTCGCCAGGCACGATGACTCATGCCTGTAAATCCCAGCACTTTGGGAGGCCGAGGCAGGCGGATCACCTGAGGTCAGGAGTTCAAGACCAGCCTGATCAACATGGAGAAACCCCGTCTCTACTAACAATACAAAATTAGCTGGGCATGGTGGCACATGCCTGTAATTCCAGCTCCTCAGGAGACTGAGACAGGAGAATTGCTTGAACCCAGGAGGCAGAGGTTGTGGTGAGCCAAGATCATGCCATTGCACTCCAGCCTGAGCAACAAGAGCAAAACTCTTATCTCAAAAAAAAAAAAAATTAAATAAATAAAATAAAAAGGCTGACCGCAGTGGCTAATGCCTGTAATCCCAGCACTTTGGGAGGCTGAGGCAGGCAGATCACCTGAGGTCAGGAGTTTGAGACCAGCCTGACCAACATGGAGAAACCCTGTCTCTACTAAAAATACAAAATTAGCCAGGCTTGGTGGCGCATGCCTGTAATCCCAGCTACTCGGGAGGCTGAGGCAGAAGAATGGCTTAAACCCGGGAGGTGGAGTTTGCAGTAAACTGAGATCATGTCATTGCACTCCAGTATGAGCAACAAGATTGAAATTATGTGTAAAAAAAAAAATTCTCGCCGGGCGCGGTGGCTCACGCCTATAATCCCAGCACTTTGGGAGGCCGAGACGGGTGGATCACAAGGTCAAGAGATCGAGACCATCCTGGTCAACATGGTGAAACCCCGTCTCTACTAAAAATACAAAAATTAGCTGGGCATGGTGGCGCACGCCTGTAGTCCCAGCTACTCGGGAGGCTGAGGCAGGAGAATTGCTTGAACCCAGGAGGCGGAAGTTGCGGTGAGCCGAGATCGCGCCCATTGCACTCCAGCCTGGGTAACAAGAGTGAAACTCCGCCTCAAAAAAAAAGAAAAAAAAAAAAATTCTCTGATGTTCCTGGTAAAGCAAAAAAAAAAAAAAAAGAAAAAAAACTTTTTTGAAAAGCTCTTGACTTATATCTGTCTTTTGAAGTCCTGATTGGGGAAAGGAGTGGTGCATCTTTCACTCTCTGCTTTTATTTTTTTTATAGAGACAGGGTGTCACCATGTTGCTTAGACTGGTCTCAAATTCCTGGGGTCAAATGATCTTCCTGCTTTGGCCTCCCAAAGTGCTAGAATTACAGGTGTGAGCCACCACACCCGGTACAATGTTTTATAAACATTATTAACTAATTTGGAACCTGGCAAAGAGAAGGAACCGTTCTCTGACCTTTGCCTAGAAATTTTCCCTGAAACACTTGAGCAGTCATGTTACCTCCTGAAACTTGTTTCTTCAGTTGTAAAATCAGAACCATCATGTATAGCTTACGGGGTTGCTGTGAGGATATGGGAGTCAAATACAGTGGGCACTCAGTAAATGGTAATGAGTGTTTCTTAACCTTTTATGGATCCTTCGAAACTTAGGCTGTGTACAGGATGGCTAACACCTGTAATCCCAGCACTTTGGGAGGCCAAGGTGGGTGGATCACTTGAGGTCAGGAGTTCAAGACTAACCTGGCCAACATGGTGAAACCCTGTCTCTACTAAAAATACACAAATTAGCTGGGTGTGGTGGCACGCACCTGTAATTCCAGCTTCTAGGAGGCTGAGGTGAGAGAATCACTTGAGCCCAGGGGGCAGAGGTTGCAGTGAGCTGAGATCATGCCATTGCACTTTAGCCTGGGTAATAGAGCGAAACTCTGTCTCAAACCCCAAAAACAAACAAACAAAAAACGTAGACACATGAACCTCCCTAGTTGAGGAAACACCTCTTAGTGATGAAGACTAACTTAATTCTTCCTATTCTTGTTAGCCTCAATTTCCCCATGTGGAAAATGTCATGTTAGATTAGTATCAAGTTGGTATTCCATTGGCCAAAGCTAGCCTGAAGATATGTTTTATTTGGCACGTATAGAATGTAAAGAAGAAAACGGAGCCAACATTTGAAAATTAAGATGTTTGGGCTGGGCGACGTGTTCACCCCTGTAATCCCAGCACTTTGGGAGGCTGAGGCAGGCGGATCACAAAGTTAAGAGATCGAGACCATCCTGGCCAACATCGTGAAACCCTGTCTCTACTAAAAATATAAAAATTAGCTGGGCATGGTGGCATGTGCCTGTGATCCCAGCTACTTGGGAGGCTGAGGCAGGAGAATCGCTTGAACCCAGGAGGTGGAGGTTGCAGTGAGCCAAGACTGCACCACTGCATTCCAGCCTGGCGACAGAGCAAGACTCTGTCTCAAAAAAAAAAAAAGAAAAGAAAAGAAAATTAAGAAGTTTTGCATGGAAATCTAGTTTTCTAGTTTTTCTTGAAAAAAATCAGAAGATGCAGCAACATTGAGTCCACATTCCTGCCTGGCAGTAATCTGCTAGGGCCACAAGGAGGCTGCTCCTTAGGCACATTTGCCAGGGTCCATCTGGCCTTCTTTACTCATTTATTTGATCTGCTCAGTCTTGTATGCATTTCAATTTGCAGCCCCTCTAGACAGCAGGAAACTGTCTATGCCTGGCACAGAGCGGGCAATTAATCAGTGAATCCCCTTGTATTTCCCTATATAATTTTTTTATTTGGCCAAAGGAAAAAAAAATCCAAGTTTGTGTTTATCTATGGTAGGTACTAGAAAACTGATTTTCACTTTGAGAAGTGAACTGAACAAGTCCTTTCTGTCAGTCAGGATAGACTGGGTTAGGCTGTGGTAACAAACAATCCCCAAATCTCAGTGGCTTACAACAACAAAGGTTTATTTCTTGTTTACTCACACAAACCTAGACACAAAATGAAAGCACTCTCCTGTTTTCACAGGCATGGAGACAGACATGAGTGCATAGGTAAGTATGGAATCATGGGATCCCAGGATATAAACTCATGCAAACACATTTATAGATATTGGTCAGCTTAAAGAGCACAACTCTCCCTTTATTGGGGATTTCAACAGGTCCCAGGACCCAAGAAGGGTACAAGAATATCAAGAATATCCACCTTTAGCCAAGGAAATGCCCACAATACTTTTTTTTTTTTTTGAAACGGAGTTTCGCTCTTGTTACCCAGGCTGGAGTGCAATGGCGCGATCCTGGCTCACCGCAACCTTCGCCTTCTGGGTTCAGGCAATTCTCCTGCCTCAGCCTCCCAAGTAGCCGGGACTACAGGCATGCGCCACCATGCCCAGCTAATAAATGCCCACAATACAAAAGGAACTGAAAGTTATGAAGTGCCTGAAAGCTTCAGAAAAAAAGGCCCGAAGCTTGTACTACATTAAATTCCATGCATAAATCCCTAAGTAAAATACTAAATACACAGTGCCAGCAGGCTGTCACCTCCCTGCTACAGCAAGGCAGCCTCCATCTCCGGGTTTCTAGCTCAGGAGGGAGATGGACCCCAGACGGCCAATATGTAGAGCAACAGAAGGGGCTGGGCTGGGTCGAAGGGCAGGGCCAACAGGCTGGAATCCTCTTCCTCCAGCAGGAGCTATAGGCAGGAAGGAAGGGGCAGGATCAGACCACATCCTTCTTTCCTCCTAGCAATCCCCTCTTTTTACCGCATCCAATTCAGGCCTCATCATTGTTCTTCTGGAGTGTTTCACAGACTTCCTTGCTGATTTTCCCACCTCCAGTCTTGCCTCCTCCAAACCCTCCATCAAAGCCATCTACTTGTCCTTCTAAAGCTCATGGTCTCTGAATTTGTCCTTGCTTAGTTCAGAAACGTTCCCTGGCTCCCCTTCATGTACAGTTGCTGGTCTAGACACCTAAGCCCGGCAGGGTCTCCAGCATCAGAAGCCTCTCTGGCCTCCTTTCCCTCTGCTCTAGCAGTTCCTCCAGGCCAGTTTGTCCAATCTGCTATTTGGAGAAGAGACTTTGCAGCTTTCCCTGTCTGTCCCCCTAGGTTGTTCTCACTCTTCAATCCTCCAGTCTTCTCCAGGTTTGTCACTAAGTCTTGTGAAGGCATCGAAGTTCCCCAACTAGAACAGAAGCTCCTTGAAGGCACTTATCAGACCTCCTCCCAGGCCAGACCCCACTCCAGACTTCAGCAAGCAGCCTGGGTCCAGAGACACAGTGTTGGGTTCTCTGCCACTGTCTGACTATATGCCTTTGGTCAAGTCTTTGCCTTTCTCAGGGCCCCACTTTCCTTGACATCAAGAAATTTGCTGTCGAGTATAAAACTGATAAAATGGATTCACTGAACAACTCTCAGCTGCAATCCCAGGGGCCAGTCTGAGGAGCTTGGGGGCCTGGGCCTGAGGACGTTCAACCTGCCAACCCCCTCATCTCCTTGGTTAGTCCCTGTGTACTTCAGTGACCTCCATTTCCCAACCATCCCTATCCCATCCTCTTGTTTCATGGAACACATTACCTGGTGGGACACAGGGGTGAAGCAGGGAGATCCAGGCAGGGTTCGGGGGCACAAAAGGGGTCACACGGGGAGCCTGGGATGAATCTTTCAGCCCCACAAGGGCTTCAGCTGCCTCTTGCTGCAGCTGCCGCTCTGAGGGGGCAGATATCCGAGCCAGGCGAGAGGCTCCAGAGGCCTGCAAGGGAAAGGAAGAGAAGCAGACTGGGAACCCCCACTTCTGCCCACCCTCTAAGTGTTCCTCAGCCCCTGGTTCCTTCACAGTCTCCTGCTTTTCCCTTCCCCAGGCTCAACCTCCTCCCAGCATCCTAGATCCCACTTCTTTCCCAGGACCTGTGGCTGTAGCAGAAGAGGGTCTGGGGTGCCACAGGGCTGGAGTATCAGAGTTGAGTGTCTAGAAACAAGGAGAGAAGATGCCAGGGTGATTAAACACATGAGCAGACATGCACACATTGAAAGAGGGGCAGGATTTTGCCATATTTTGATCTGGGAATCTGAGAGCCTGCTGGCCCATTAAGCTGTGTGGCTAAGTCCCCATCCCCTGTCTTGACTTACTTTATTTTCAGTAAAGTAAAAATCCCTGCCAACTTTTTCCTCCCAGAGCTACTGTGAGGATTATGGGAAATCACCCGTGTTTTCTTTTCTTTCTTTCTTTTTTTTTTTTTTTTTGACACAGGGTCTTGCTCTGTCACCCAGGCTGGAGTGCAGTGGCAGTGTGATCATAGCTCACCATAAGCTCGAATTCCTTAGCCTATGCCATCTTCCCACCTCAGCCTCCTAAGTAGCCAGGAAAACAGGTGTGCACCACCAATCTGGGCTAAGTTTTAATTTTTCTGTAGAGACAGGGTCTCACTCTGTTGCTCAGGTGGTCTCAAACTCTTGGCCTCAAGTGATCCTCCCACCTCAGCCTCCCAAAGGGTTGGGATTATAGGTGTGAGCCATCAGGCCCTGCCTGATGTCAGTTTTTAAAAAACACCTAGCTGGGATTACTGTCCCTGCCCTACCAGAGTCTGGGTCCCCTTTCCCAATTCCCCAATTCCCATAGAACTTGAAGGAGCGCTTGGCTCAGCTTTGGGGAGCTTTCCCTAATGGCCTCTGCCCCCTTTCCAGGGTCTCTGAGGCTCTCACCATCACTGCCTCCCATATCAGATTACCCCATCGAATCTGTTTAAGCAGATAAAATCGCTACTATTAAAGAGTCTGTGCTACATCTAGTCCATACATTATTGATAATTCTTACAACAACCAGAGAGGTAAGTAATAGTGTCTCCAAATTACTGAGAGAAAAACAGGCTCAGAGAGGTAAAGCTAATTGCCCAAAGCATCACAGCTAGGAAATGGCAGTACTAGGAGAGCTCTGCCTTGCCTATTAGTCTGAGACCTTTTCTTCTTCATTATCCACTGTGGTGTCAAGCACAGGCTTAGGCTCATGATACACATCCTTCTCTCCCTACTCACGTGAGGGGCTGGCTAGGGGGCCCTTGGGGCTCTCCAGAAAGAGGAGCTGTCAGTACTGGGTGAGATCCTGGGCAGGTGGTGAAGGGCCCATGAGTGGGCAGCGGGAGGGAGGTGCCAGGGTCAAAGCCTAATGAGAATAAGAGAATGCAGAGCTTTTAGGGGTCAAGGTCACAGTTTCTTTCCTCCCCCTCCCCACCTGTGCCCTCTTCCTCCTCCTTTCCCAATATGTGGCAGATTGACACTAAAATATCTGTTGAATTACCATCGTACCAGGAAAGAGAGGCAGAGAGACAGCTGGATCTTGGTACAGCAAGCGGCATACCACTGGTGATGGCATGGAGAGGCCTGGAGGCAGCCAGTGTCCAGGGACCCAGGGGCCAGGAGGCACTGGAGTCCAGGAAAAGGGCAAGGCTTCCAAGGGATGGCTGAGTAGCAGAGGCCCACAGGAGTTCTCCTGCAGGGGCAGAGGGCACAGGACTGGAGTTGGGTACAAGGCTGGAGAAGGAGTGGGCTTATTCTGGGATGTGGGCAGAACCCCAAAACTTTAGAGCTGGGAGGGCCTTAAAGTCCCATCCCCTCATTTTGCCTAGAGAAGAGAAGTGATTTGACCAGATTATATAGCAAACCAGGGCTGGGACTAGAACCCAGGTGTTGAGGGCACAGAAGAAAGGGTCTGGGTAGGAACTAGGGTGGGGGGCACTTTCTCAGGCCTCAGCCTCTCCTTACCTTCCCAGGGGGTGTCAGTGCCAGCGGGACTGCCCCACGGGGTGTCTGAGGCTGAGGTGCTATGTTCTCTTTTCCAGCTGTGAAGGACCAGGGAGAGCTCTAGTGAGCCCTTTCTCCTGACCCCTATCCTACCCCAACCCCAGAAAGTTCTCATCTCCCCCTCCAGCTCATTTTTGACCCACAGAATTTGCTGTGTTCTCCCAACACTGAGACAGCCGAGGCCAAGGGAGTAGAAACACTTAGTCAAGGTTGCACACCAATTCAGCGGCAGGGCTGGGCCTCTTTTTCCCACGCCTGCTTGCTATACTAAAACCCCTTCCCCATCGCTGGTCAAAGACACTCACAGGGGACCTTTCTGATGCGGCTGGGAGTTTTGGAAGAGGCTTCCCCTCTCCTCATCAGGCGCTTCTTCAGCTGGGCCTCCTGCTGCCTACGCAAGGCCACTTGGGCAGCCATGACCCTGCGGCGCTCCCTAAAGGTGGGGAGTTGTGAGTCAAAAGTCAGCGACTCTTTGGACGAGGCCCAACCTCCTCCCCTCCCAGATCTCATGCTCACAAGATGAGGACACATTTGTGACACTCGCAAGCCTGGAAGAGGCAGAGGCGCTTGTGGCCCTTGAGGTGGGCGGTGACGCCGTGGTTGCGGCAGCGGGCGCAGGTTGGAGAGCGACTGATGGCTCTCCTGGGGATCAGCTCTGTGCCCTGGGGGTCTCTCATCTCATCCCGGAGGGCAGAGTCTGAGGGGCAATGGTGGCCAGCAGGCATGTCACTGGGATTCATGGATCTAGGGGCAGGAGTGGAGGGTCAGCATGACCAGGTGGGCCCGCCCCTAACAACCATCCTGCCCTGGGGACCACATTTGCAGGATTCCATCTTGCCCCTCTTTAGACCTCCCTTCCCCAATCCTGCCTTCTTCCCTGGATTCCTCCCCTCTTTACCCCATGAGCTTTCTCAGGTATCTTCCTTCCTAAGAAACCCTTCTCCTCTTCCTCTTCAGTATTCTTTCTTTCTTTCTTTTTTGGAGATGGAGTCTTGCTCTGTCTCCCAGGCTGGAGTGCAGTGGTGTGATCTTGGCCCTTCACAAGCACCCTGTTCCATCCCAACAGTGTTTCCTGGCATCCTGTTCAACAATGCTCACCCCGCCCTCATGCCTTTATCCAATGCCTACTGATACTTTTATGCCCCTTTCAATTCTTAGTTCAATTTCAATTCTTAGTCTCATCTATGCCCTGCAAGGCAACTGCCTCCTTCCATTCCTTCAGTATTATTTTGTTCTTGTACCCCTTGAAATCAGAATACTCTCTTGCACCCCCAATAATTAGATTATTCTCATAGATTCCCTGCTCCACTTTCTTTTTATTGACAGGGTCTCGCTCTGTTGCCCAGGCTGGAGTGCAGTGGCATGATCACAACTTATTGCATCCTCCACCTCCTGAGCTCAAGCAATCTTCCCACCGCAGCCTCCCGAGTAACTGGGACCACAGGCTGCAGCCACTGCGCTCAGCTTCCCTGTCCCACTTTCTTTTTCTTTTGTCCCTTCCTCCTTCCCTCCCTCCCTCCCTCCCTTCTTCCTTCCTTCCTGCCCTTTCTTTCTCTCTCTCTTGCTTTCCTTTTTTGACATGGAGTCTTGCTCTTCAGCCCAGTTGGGAGTGCAGTGGCGTGATCCTGGCTCACTGTAACCTCCGCCTCCTGGGTTCAAGTGATTCTCCTGCTTCAGCCTTTCCAGTGGATGGGATTACAGGCGCCTGCCACCAAGCCCAGCTAATTTTTGTATTTTTAGTAGAAGACAGGGTTTCACTATGTTGGCCAGCCAGGCTGGTCTCAAACTCCTGACCTCAAGCGACCTGCCTGCCTCGGCCTCCCAAAGCGCTGGAATCACAAGTGTGAGCCACTGTGCCCGCCACCTGCCCCACTTTCAAGTTATTTTCCTTCACTCCTTCATTTATTCCGCAAATGGTTACTGGCCCCTGCCATGTGCTAAGCCCTGATCTGGGCCAAAAGCCCTCTTCTCGAGGCACTAATGTCTCTCTTGCGCCCACACGTTGTTCAGGATTTTGTGTAAACCCGTGCAGTCTCTGTGCCCAGTGCTTCCTGCTCCTGTGCCCACTCCCCACAATTAATTTCATGCATTCTCCCCTCCCACCTTCCTGCGCCCCAGGGAGCGAGTGGGGCATGGGGAACACGCCAAGGGGCCCGCGAGGCAGGGAAGGGGATAGGGGGCGCGAGGGGCGTGAGGGGGAGGGGAGGGGCACGAGCGGGGGTGAGGGGATGCTCTGGGGTAGGACGTCTAAGCAAGAAGGAGGACGGAAAGGGAGGAGAGGCCACGTTCGCGCAGCCAGTTCACGGTTACCACCGCCTCCAGTGGAGTCAGATTCAGTCAAGAAGATGCCTAAGGACACCGTGGAAAAGTGGCCAGAGGAACGGCCAAGCTCGCGCTGCTTTTCCCGCGCTGTCTCACGAGGACCAATGAGCTTCAAGAATCGTTTCTCTGTGCCGAGGCGGGCGACCAATGCGGTTTGAGATCCTGCACTGATGTCCTGCCCCCTTCCTTTCTGCTAGCGTCTAGGGGCGCGAGACTATCAGTCCAGCCAACAGCAATTGGAGATAAGTCTCGTGCCACCCCTGCCCCTCCCTCTGCGTGTCCTGCCTGCCCAGACTGCCTTTCCCCTTTGGAGGCAAAGTGGCCAATGGGGCGTCGAATGTTGCCTCCTGGACCGAGGCTGGGCCCGCCCCCCAGGAACGGTCCGCCTGGCCCCGCCCCCGGGGCGTTTACCAAGCACTGTCTGCGCACGCGCAGCCTCGATTCCGGCCTTCCTTGGGTCTCTACCTAGACTTCGCCGTTGCTGCGTGGACGCCCGCGTTTTCTGTTGCTTCTCTCCCGGTGCCACAGCTCCCGAGCTACCCTTCTTTTATGCGTTCTCCCTAAACCCTGTGATTTCCCTGTTTGCTTACCGGGCCCTTCCTCCTCATATTGCGTCCGTTGCCCTGTGTCTCTTCCTGTCGTCCTACGGGTTGTGATTTTCCCAGTCTGATTTTTCCTTTTCTCTCGGACTCTCTCTCTCTTCGGACCCACTTTCTCCCCGTGCTTCATTCCCTGATAGCTTGGCCCCTTCCCCCCTTCCTTGGCTACCCGGGACACCTCCAGTTTTTCTGAATTTCCCGCTGGCTCCGCCCTCCTCTTTAATCTCCCTCAAGATTTCACCCCTCTGGGGGCGGCTCTGTGTAATCGTCGCCTTCTCTGGGTATCTCCGTGAGCTTCATCTCGCGCCATCCCCCCATCTTCTCTGCCGTGGCCCTTTTTCTCTGTGCGTCTCGCTCTGTGTCCTTTTCTCTTCCCCGCTCTGAGATTGACTCCTCTTCTCCCTGAGAGCCCCGCCTTTGTGCCTCACTCCTCATCTTCCTATGCCTCCCTCTCTCTGCTGGTCCACTGTCTCCCTGCAAGGTTCCATTCCATCAATTTGTCTTTTGTAGGGGTGGCATCCCTCTGACTGCCCCATCCTTTTTTTTTTTTTTTTTTCCCCTTGAGGATTGAGGATTTCATTTCAGTCTTTTCTGGTTGCGTCTCCACTTGCACTCAGCTTGTTGGGTCCTGTCGTTCTGCATCTCAGGCTGACGAGTGCCATCTTCTCTGATTGGCCTAATCCTTCCCCCCCCCCCCCCCCCGTGACATCCTTTGTCAAACTTCGTTTCTCTTTCCTGTGTCCCAACTTTTCTGCGGGTCTTAGCACCTTTGTTGGCCACAGATTTCTGGGTTACAGAGCATGTGTGTCTGGGCATTGCAGACAGAAAAGGGTGGCCAACGTGACCTCTAGCTGGACTGCTGGGCAGGGGAGCTGTCCTAGATAAAATTGGAAAGGTTGGGTGGCGTTGATCTGGGGTGAGGTCAGGTTGGGGGAGGCTTGAAGGCTAAAGAGGTTGAATTTGATCCTTTAGGTAGTAGAGAGAGAGTGAGAGGAAGTGTGTGTTGGAGGGAGGGATGGTGGTGGAGGAACAGGGTAACCAGCATTTATAAAGAGCTTAGCCTTTGCCTAACACGGTAATAATTTTATTGATCTTCACAATGACCTTATGAGATGTATTATACTCCGTTTTATAAATGAGGTAGTGGGCTCAGAGTTCATCAGATTGGACAGCTGGTAAGTGAAGGCGTAAAGATTCCAACCTGGGTCTCTGAGGCCAGGGTCTGTGATCTTTATAGCCCCTCCCACACTGTTATAGTTATTTCCACCAATTCCCCACTTTCATTCCCTAACCTTCTCATAGGCAGTTCTCATTCTAAGGTGGTTAATATGTATCTTTTGGTTTGTGTTTGTGTATTCTCACAGAATACGTGTAGTGTTTTCTGTTTAAGTTTTTTTTTTTTTTTTAGCGATGGGATTTTGCCATGTTGACCAGGCTGGTCTGGTCTGGAACTCCTGGCCTCAAATGATCTGCCTGCCTCAGCCTTCCAAAGTGCTGGGATTACAGGCGTGAGCCACCATGCCTGAACTGTGTTTGAGTTTTTAATTTATGCAAGTGATATTATGCTATTTACTATTTAAAATAATTGGCACTGTGCTTTTATGATCTATCGATGTACACATCCTGTCATTGTGTGTATATCTTTTTTTGTTGTCGTTGGAGACGGAGTTTCACCCTTACTGCCCAGGCTGGCGTGCAATGGTGTGATCTCAGCTCACTGCAACCTCTGCCTCCCGGGTTCAAACAATTCTTCTTCTGTCTCAGACTCCTGAGTAGCTGGGATTACAGGCGCCCACCACCACACTTGGCTAATTTTTGTATTTTTGGTAGAGATGAGGTTTTGCCATGTTGACCAGGCTTGTCTCGAACTCCTGACCTCAGGTGTTCTGCCCTCCTTGGCCTCTTGAAGTGCTGGGATTACAGGCGTGAGCCACTGCACCCTGCCTCACATCCTGGGTACATCTAATCAGCTGCTTCCTACTCCTGTGTGATATTCTGTAGTGAACATCCCCAGCATGTTTTGCATTCACTTGGTCTCAGAGAAGGAAGCTCCCATTGTCTCAACCGTCACCACAGTAATGCTGCATTCGCTGGACACAGCAGCTCATGCCTGTAATCCCAGCACTTTGAGAGGCCAAGGCAGGCGGATCACTTGTGCTCAGGAGTTCAAGACCAGCCTGGGCAGTATTTCAAAGCCCATCTTTACAAAAAATACAAAAACTTAGCTGGGTATGGTGGTTCATGCCTGTGGTCCCAGTCACTTGGGAGGCTGAGGCAGGGAGATCACTTGAGCCCTGGAGTTTGAGGCTGCCAGGAGCTGTGATCATGCCACCAGCAAAAACAAAACCAAAACAAATGAACAAAAAACCCATCTGATGTCTGTTACTTCCTGTTTTTCATTCTGTATTTTATTGCACCTTCTCTTTTTTAGAGACAAAGTCTTACTCTGTTACTCAGGTTGGAGTACAGTGGCATGATCATGGCTTATTGTAACCTTGAACTCCTAGGCTCAAGTGATCCTCTGATATTGGCCTCCTGAGTAGCTGGGATTACAGGCACTCCCACACTTGGCTAATTTTTAAACCTTTTTTTTTTGGTATAGACAGGGTGTTGCCCAGGCTGGTCTCAAACTGCTGACCTTGAGCGATCCTCCTGGCTCAGCCTCCCAAAGCACTGGGATTACAGGCATGAGCCACTGTGTTGCCCAGGCTGGTCTTGAACTCCTAATCTCAAGGGTTCCTTCTGGCTCAACCTTCCAAAGCACTGGGATTAGAGGCATGAGCCACTGTGCCAGCCTGCCTCTACTTCCTTTACTCCCT